CTGGGATATTGGGAGTGAGAGACCACTCGAAGAGTCTCAAACCTTTCCTTTCATGACTTTCTGTATTCCTTCACTAAATGTTCATTAATAAACTACTACTTTCTTCTTGGATTCTTCAGTTACTTATCATTGGTATCAAAGCCATTGACAAAAGCCTTACCTGCGCATGGTCTTGACCCGATCGAGAATGGAGCAACGTGTGGAAAATCTGGAAAACACCCTAGCGGAAGTGAGAACTGCCGTGAATGAACTGCTTCGCTTGCGTGAGACCGTGGCCGAATTGAAGAATATCATGTTACAGGGTGACCGCCATAAGAGAAGAGGACGATCTACCACAAACCGTCGTCGCCATACTTCAGCAAGCGTGAGCTCCTCTAGTTCTGAAGGTAAATCTCATGAAACTCACTCAGTTTCACGCAGCCCTTATCAGAAGAGAATCAGCGACCGTGTATATACTGGAAGAAAGGTCGATTTACCACTTTTCAGTGGAGACGATGCTTATGGATGGCTGATTAGGGTTGAGCGCTATTTCAAACTCAACCATGTGGCAGAAGAGGATAAAGTAGAAATAATCTTGATAGCCATGGCCGGAAAAGCTCTGAACTGGTACCAATGGTGGGATGAACAGACTGATGACCATTCTTGGGTTAACTTCAAAGATGCTTTGTTCCGGCGTTTTCAACCTGCCTTAGTGCAGAATCCGTTTGGTCCTATGCTCAGTATTAGGCAAACTGGTTCTGTAATGGAATACCGGGATCACTTTGAAATGGTTGTAGCTCCTCTCAAACTTGCTGACCAAGGGATGTTAAAAGGAGTGTTTCTCAATGGCCTTAAAAAAGAAATTAGCACGGAACTGAAGTTGCACCAGACCAGTGGGTTAACTGAACTGATGGACAAGGCTTTGTTGTTGGAGCAGAAGAATAAGGTGTGGATAGGGAAAAAAAATAAAGAAGAAGACAACATAGGTTGGAAGGAACAGGGAGGAAAAATGGTTAGACCTTGGAACTGGGTAGACGCAACAAAGGGAAGAACACCTGCGTTAAATCCGGAGAGAACACTTTCAGAGAACAAACTGGAGGAATCGCCAAAACCGAGTAAGACATGGGAAGGTGGCCAAAGGTTGACACAAGCAGACTTAGAAGAAAGAAGCAAGAAGGGCCTATGCTTCAAATGTGGAAACAAATGGGGCAAAGAGCATGTTTGTGGAATGAAACATTATCAATTGATCTTGAGGGAAGAGCCAGAAGAAGAGGAGGGCACAGTAGATCAATTTTATGAGCGGGATGGAGCTGAAAACTTGCTGGAACCTAATGCAAAATCAGTCTCTTATCATCCACCTTGAGGACAAGGTGGAAGTTAAAGGGGGGAGTGATGTTAGGGACCTGAACACTACCAAGAATTAGAGCCTTATTAAGTCATTTTAGTTTTGTTCAATAATAGGGTTTAGGCCCTACAACTTAGTAGAAGTGGGCTGGCCCATTAGAAATAGAATAAATAAGGGTGAGTGGGGATTAGATGGGGGGAGAACTTGGGATCAGGACTGGGATATTGGGAGTGAGAGACCACTCGAAGAGTCTCAAACCTTTCCTTTCATGACTTTCTGTATTCCTTCACTAAATGTTCATTAATAAACTACTACTTTCTTCTTGGATTCTTCAGTTACTTATCACTGCGCGATGTGCGATGCGATGTCGAAGAAGTGTGCGATCTACTTCGCAGTCGGTTTTGGCTTTTCTCCGCCAAACGCGCAATCGCTGCCCGAATCTCCGCAATATCCGTCGCCATAGCAGTGTTTGTTGCCGCGAACTCCCGTTGATTCCTCTCCAGATCATTTAATCTTCCTTCCATCGTAGCGCGCGTAAATCTCATCCAGGGATCTACGTGCTCTGATACCACTGATAAAACACAATCAGATCACAGAAAGAATAGAAGAGAATTATGAGGAAATAACCAACAAATGTATTGAGATGATCAAGCAACCAAGGCCGAAGCCCCAAAAGAAAGAGACAATAAATCTCTAACTTCCCAGTCCTGACAACTTCCGTCATAACAGCCTGCCCCCTCCCCCCAGCCTTACTTCTATTTATAGTATTCTTAAAACATAAAGTGGTTATTCATTTAATAACAAAAAAAGAACCCAAGACTCGCAGCTTATTTCCTCCTTCTCGAGTACACTCTGCCAAAATATGGATCACCAGTGTTCGGATTAGATGGGTCTCTATCAAAGACTTCTGGGAGCAACCAGTGTACACAACAAGGCATAACATTGCATAAGCACAATTGCTAATGAATTAATGAATGAACATATACTAACAAAAGCTATACTGCCTCACCACCATCAAAATCAATATTGCCTAATTTTCTTACCCTTTGCTTCAGGTAGAGAATCCTATAGCTAACAAAACACATCCCAAAGTTTGATGCGGAAAACTTTTGAAAGAGTGAAAGTTGTAGAAAAATGTAGCATATTCATGTTATTTTATTATGTGTACATCCGGGACTGTATAGATAGGAAGTAGAGTTGATTTAGGACTCTAACTCTTAGATTAACACGCAGTGTAGATAAGAATAGATAGATCCTAAATATTAGGATCCGTAACAAACCTTAGCTTATCTGTAATTTTGTATTTATATCATTGCCGGATGGCTCAATAATACTAAGATGTTTATAACTATGAACACTGTTTTTGTAGAAGATCAACCTTTTTTTGGTACTCATCTTCAGGGGGAGATTCCTAATGAAGATGGTAATAATGTATCACATATCCTTGAAAAACTAGAACCTCTTGACATTAATCTAGATGCACAGTATAGTAGACAGTTAGATGCACTAGAAAATAGTCAAGAGTCAAAAGAAAATGAAAAACTTTTTTCTGAAACAAGGAAAGATGATGAACAGCAGATAAGTAAGTTTTTTGGCAAGGTTTATGAAAGGAAAGTTCCAAATCACAGAATAGAGGACATCCCTGATCCTGCCACTGTCAATGAATCTGACTCAATGCCAGAAAATGACAAAGGTAATAATTTCAGTGATCTAAATCTACCCATTGCTCTCAGAAAAGAAAAAAGGTCATGTGTTAAATACCCTATCTCAAACTATCTGTCCTATTCTCAGTTATCTACATCATTTGCAGCTTTTACCTCTAGTCTTTCCAGTGTCTCTATTCCCTTAACCATACGGGAAGCCCTATCTATACCTGAGTGGAAGAAGGCTGTTTTAGAAGAAATGAATGCCCTTGAAAAGAATCAGACATGGCAGACTGTAGAGGTACCCAAAAATAAACCAAGGGTTGGATGCAAATGGGTGTTTACTCCTAAATTCAAGGCAGATGGTACACTTGAAAGATATAAGGCCAGACTGGTTGCCAAAGGATACACACAAACCTATGGCATAGATTATACAGAAACTTTTGCACCAGTTGCAAAATTAAATACTATAAGGATTCTACTATCTCTAGCTTCTAACCTAGACTGGCCTCTTCAACAGTTAGATGTGAAGAATGCTTTCCTAAATGGGAAGCTTGAAGAGGAAGTATACATGAGCCCTCCTCCTGGGTTTGAGGAACAATATGGCTCAAAGGTGTGCAAGCTAGAGAAAGCCTTATATGGGCTTAAACAGTCCCCAAGGGCTTGGTTTGAAAGGTTTACTCAGTTCATAAAGAAGCAGGGATTCAAACAAGCCCAAGCAGATCATACACTATTCATGAAATTCTCCATTAAGGGAGAAATTGCAGTACTAATTGTTTATGTGGATGATATAATTCTTACAGGAAACTATTGTGAAGAGATTGAAGACCTGAAGAAGAAGCTAGCTCAGGAATTTGAAATCAAAGACCCGGGAGAATTGAAGTATTTTCTTGGCATGGAGATAGCCAGATCAAAGAAGGGAATTGTGGTATCCCAAAGGAAGTATGTACTAGACCTACTTCATGAAACAGGTATGAGTGCATGCAGACCAATAGATACTCCAATTGATCCTAATCAGAAGTTAGGAAATGTCAAGGAAGGAGTACTAGTTAATATTCACCAATATCAAAGATTGGTGGGAAGGTTGATTTATCTGGCACATACAAGGCCAGATATTGCCTTTGCAGTCAGTATGGTTAGTCAGTTCATGCATAATCCATTCCAAGAACATCTAGATGCTACCTACAGGATCCTAAGATATTTGAAAAGTTGTCCAGGGAAAGGATTATTTTTTAAAAGAAGTGACAATAGAAGTGTAGAAGCCTTTACAGATGCAGATTATGCTGGGTCAATAAATGATAGAAGGTCTACATCTGGATATTGTACTTATGTATGGGGGAATCTGGTGACTTGGAGAAGTAAGAAGCAGAATGTTGTTGCCAGAAGTAGTGCAGAATCTGAATTTAGATCTATGGCTAATGGAATCTGTGAGCTACTTTGGATCAAGAGAATGATGACAGAGTTGAATATGGAAATGAACCTACCTATGAAATTATATTGTGACAATAAAGCAGCCATTAATATTGCTCACAATCCTGTGCTACATGATCGTACTAAACACATTGAGGTGGACAGGCATTTTATCAAAGAGAAGATTGAAGCTGGAATTGTATGCACACCATTCATATCTACTAAAGAGCAGACAGCTGATATCTTTACAAAGGGGCTGTTTAAACCAGTGTTTGAGTTTCTTATAAGCAAGTTGGGAATGTATGATATATACTTACCAACTTGAGGGGGAGTGTAGAAAAATGTAGCATATTCATGTTATTTTATTATGTGTACATCCGGGACTGTATAGATAGGAAGTAGAGTTGATTTAGGACTCTAACTCTTAGATTAACACGCAGTGTAGATAAGAATAGATAGATCCTAAATATTAGGATCTGTAACAAACCTTAGCTTATCTGTAATTTTGTATTTATATCATTGCCGGATGGCTCAATAATACATGGAAGATTAATTCTTCAAACCTACAAAAGTAAAAGGGCTTTGCATCTTTTTGTAACATAATAAACAAGTGTCTTCCATACCTCATCCACATTGTTTGTTTGACATGTTTCCTTCCAAGTAGTAATGAACATCTTCATTGAATCACTGCCATATGAGCAATCTATTGAGTCAATATTTCCCTGGTCCCCTGCCTTTATATTCTTCTCACCAGAATGGGTTGTCCACACTTGTCTATTGCATGGTGTTTGTGTTCTTTCTGTTTTGCAGATTTTTGTAGCATGAGTAACAGGACTCTGAATATTTTTGTGTTTTCTTTTTCTTTTGGATTGTTTAATACTCTTGCTGTATCCCACCTGTGCAAATTCTTCACCTACAGTTCAATAAGGATAAGTACTCACTCTTTCAAAGCTGTTGACATATTCACTTTGTACATCAATAGATTCATTACCATCTATCTCACCTTCAGATTCATCATCATCACTGGAACTACCCTCGGAACAGGATGATATCAATGATACATGCTTACCAGTACCAATTTCATTAACAGATGAGAACGATTTGACATGCTCTATTATATCATTGAAATGTACATCCATCTGCTTTTTCTGTGACTGTAAGGATGAAAAAGCACGATCTTTGGCTTTTTTAAATCTGTTTTTCGGTGTCTTTAAATATCTAGTCACACTAGTGACTTCTAACTGCTTTGCTTGTCGAATCAAAGAGATATGCATCCTGAAATTAAAATCAGAGAGAAAGAAACAACCAGTAATGTTTAAGGAACAAAATGTATATAGCTATAACTGATTTCATATAATACTCCGTATGAATTATCAACGGGGTGGACTAGTGGAGCCAGTACTGCCCTAATTCGAACTTGTGGTATGCCACAAAAAATAATTCATTCATTATATTTTATTAAAAAATGAGATAAGTCCCATAATAGGGGTAAAACATGGAAAGAAGGCTTGCCACAAAAAATAATTCATTCATTCATAGATGTTTAAATTTCCTAAAATAGGAGTTTTTTGTGATTGGACATGAATATCCCTGCAGGGGTTTTAGGCTTGCCACTTCCACTGGGCTGCCGCTGCCGCCAAAAACATGTCAGATTTCTGCCGCCAGTGCCATCACCGGCACTGCTGGACTGCCCCGCCACCAACGGACTGACCTTGGTTATGCAAGGGAACTAGGAGGGGCAATTAATTAATTATATTAGTGGTAGAAAGGTAATATCTAGTCCTATTTTGGGAAAATTAAACATGGACTCCTATTTAGGGAAAAGGAGTATGTTTTACTCCTATTTACAGCAATTACTTTAAAAGATTGGAACAAACTTAGAGTGGGCCTGTCCCAGTAATGTCCACTCCTAAATCCACCCAGTGCATATATTCAATGAAAGGAAAGGATCAAATACCCCAAGCTTTGGATTCGCACACCAAGCCTTTCCTTGGATGTTACAGATTGTTTCTTTGCAATAAAATCCAAAAGATCCTCCATATCTACTTTTTTATGTTTACCGATATCCATGAACTCAAAAAGCAAAGACATTATTTCTGCACTTTTTATTCTGCAGACTTCTGTGACATCTGCGCTTAGAGAAAAATAATGTACAACTAATGGGTGCTTTACCAAAGGCCCCAATTCAAGTTCTTCAAATTGCTCAACCCTCTCTGATTTGCATATCGCAATTTCTAAGTCATGCAATGTTGTCATTCTTTGAGTAGCAACAAAGCAATGAATGAAAGAATTTATCTACAATAATAAAGATAAAATTATAAGAACTTTTTATAAAGAATCGTAAACACCTCCCACTATCAAATGAATACAAATGTAATGTCTGAACTGCATTCATTTCCCTACAAATATTGGGCAAAGTTAATCCCCACCCCCATCTTAATCCAGCTATCATATATATTCAACTTTAGTGATCACCCATTAAGTGAAGCACAATACATTAGTGGAAAGAAATGGCAAAAGCAGAATACAGTTGGTGGCAATGACATAACCTTATTAATAACAAAGTTAATAAGCATTGGAGCTCGATAGCCTTAATAAAGGAAATTAATCAAATTGATGAAGAGTATTGAAAATGAAATCTTTAACCATATGAAGTGAACAAGTACACCAGACCAAACAAGATAAGGGAAAATGGTCAAATAAGCTCTCGAACTAACTTAAAAAGTGCAAATCACCCCTTATATATGAGGCTCTGTCCGGCTGTCACCATTTGGGGTGGTTCCCGGTGGAATTTTTTGACGAAATATTTTGAGCATCTTCTTCATTAAGTCTAGTTTTCCCAAACCAAATTTCAGATAAAAATTCAACCGGGAAGACAGCCAAATGATTTTCTGAAATGTACTGCGCTGTTTAACAGCGCATTTATCTTCAAAAATTCATTTGACTGCCTTCCCGATTGAAAGTTTATCTAACATTTGGTATGAGTAAACTAAACTTGATGAAGAAGTTGCTCAAAAAAATTCATCAAAAAATTCCACTGGGAATCACCCCAAATAGCGACGGCCGGACAGAGCCTCCTATATAAGGGGTGATTTGCACTTTTTTAAGTTAGTTCGAGGGCCTATTTGACCCTTTTCCCAACAAGATAATATATGAAATTACAACTGCCTTTATATGCACTATCCACCGGCTAGGTTATAAATTATTACATCTGAAGAAGTAAACTTGGCAGCACAGGCCGTACTGTCAATTAGCTTTGTATTCATCATTATATTGTGTCTACTCTCTTCATGTTTGATAGTGGCAATGGCAGAAGATAGGGAAGCTAGAGGAGTAATGCCCAGAATTTTAGCTCCGGTCTGATCGTATTCTAGATTTAAACCAGACAATAAGCAATATATATGTTGCTAATTTATATAGTTCTTGTGAGGAGTTGCATCTGCAGCATTAGTCCACTTCATTGTTTGATATTGCTCAAGCTCGGACCATCGTTGTTGGAGGTCAGTAGCATATTTTGTGACAGATTTTGAATCTTACTTAAGATTCGTCGTTTGGAGCCATAAGTCATAGACAAAAGCGCCATCTGTAGCAACGGAGTAGGACTGTTTTATGAAATCTCAGATTTATTTAGCCGAGTCCATGTATAAACATGTACTTGTAATGTTGGGAACTTGGGATCCATGGAGTCCCACAACCAGACACGTATGTTGGCATTGGTTTTCTCCCAAATAGCAGCATCAACATCTTCTTCTTCTGGTGTAGAGACAGTGAGATAAACTTCAAGATCTTTGCCATGAGGGAGAGTGTAAAGCAGCTTTGAACATCCAAGATAGTTCCTGCCATTGAGACGGTAAGATGGCAGGATAGAAGGGAGATCAAATTTCTGATTTTGAATAGCAACCGCAGCCGCAGTAGCAGCTGAAACGATGGTTGAGTGGTCAAGGTGACTTGAGGTTGATTCAATTTCTTTAGACATGATAGAACTCTTGGTGAAGAGACTCGCGCAAGAAGTTTAAACAAAGAGGCGGGTAGAGAAACCCAAGTAGACTGCTAGAGAGATGATGAACTAGGAAGAGGCTTAGACGAGATTCTGCTTTGATGCCATGAAGTTTTCTATATATTATTATAGATTGGTCTATTTTTTTAGAAAAAGTACAAACCTATATATATATATATATATATATATATACTAGCTAAATACTGGAAGTGTCTATAATAAGTATAATACAAACCGAAAAGACAACAAGTATTAGTTACAACCTGAAGCACTTTACACTCATAATTACAGTAATAATAAGGAAAGTAATTCCTAGACTAATGATGTCTCTTCATTTTATCAACACATATATTAATATATTAATATTAATTAGAAGCAAAAAAGTTGAAAAGTTGAAATGTTATTGCATATAGCCAGATATCATCAATTGTGGTTGGTCCTCCACTTTTTAGGTCCTCATTAAATGATTGTAGTATGACTGTTCTCAATCAGTTAGAAACTTAGAGTGTCTCTAGTAGAACAATAATACGAAATTACAGAGCGTTAATATCAAAACATAGGAGTCAGATACATCAAACAATGGGTAATCTCACAGAGTCATTCACAAATATTTCCATGACTCCATCCTCCACTCTTTTCTGTATGACTGGGTGTTAGTCTCAAATAATAAGAGTTGGCTAGATGAAGCAAGGAATAATCTAAGTCACAGGGTTATTCACTAGTAATTTCAGATTTTCATCTCCCACTCTTGTCAATTGTCCTCAAGCAGCGTATGCTGCTGAAGCCTCAATGTACTATTACCAATATCCCGCTTTCACACTCTAAATCATAGACATTATTTATCATACTTACTTCTATTGAGATATTAGAAGTCTAAGGTTCAAAAACTAAACACTCTAATCGCTGACAGTCCAATCTTTGTACTGGAGTCTAGAACCTCTAACTCTAGGCGAAAAACATGTCAACACCGGATGCTAAGCAGCGAAAATTACAATGCCGCAGGATGCATGAAATCTCTGTACTATTATAGACTTCATCCATTCAATTTAGATTTCATTGGTACTCAAAACATTGTTTCGTAAGGCACTTTAGATGGCAACTTGAGGCTTGTGCCAGCTAGACAGGTTGAGGTTTGCGCCTCAACTGACAAAAAGAACGATCTCATCATGGGCTTATTATTTGTAATGAACTTCATATTAAGACTTTTTTGTAATGAACGATCTCACCAACACAGGAAAAGCCGAGTACAGCAACGAACAAACTACTAAAAGTTTGGGCAGGGCACTTGTCCACACAAAAGTTTGAATCTTGATGGTAGTTTGCTGCAAGACAACAATAATAGTCTATTTTTTTACTAATAAACAAGTGGCTACTCGTTCAAAATCATGGGTGTACCAGTCCTATGGTGACTGTAAAGTATAAACAATTGAACAGGTACGGGTTAACAACAAACTTCCAGTGTCTAAGGAATTGAATTAAAGGGTAATGAAAAAAAAGGAAGTTCTGGCACTAAGCCTTGGCGGTCATGCACATACTGTTTAGGTGGATTGATTCACATTCACTCCTTAACTCTGTCCACTGCCTCGTCTAAACATGAATGGGTCTTTGCCCTAAATATGTGCATCGAAGGTCCAAGACAGTTTAAAATTAGATAGTTATAAGTGGGGCATTTAAGTTCCACACACGAGTCTATATAGTCTTGGGTTGGAATTGTTGTGAGTGGTGCTGTTTTGTTTCTTACAATACCACAGTTGGTAAAGAAAGGAGAGGTAAAAGCCATGGCTACTAAAGTTAATATTTATTCGTACCTTTCCTTCAAGGAGTATAAGACGGTGAAGGGAGGGCACTTTCTGCATTTGGAACCCCAGAGAGTCCCAACTGTCGGCCTGAAGTATTACCAGAGCAGCTTGAGACACTTGCCAAGATGAGACAGCACCTCCAGTGGCGAGTATTTCGCTATAGGCCTTAAGCACTGCCTTGTCGATCATATCGATGGCTGCCATCGGCCTCGAAGCCTGAGCATTCAACTCAAAGTTGGGTTGTTTCACGGGAAAGTTAGGGACGTGACTGCGATTCTTTTTTTTGGGCGGGGATGACGATTGCGATATTTCATGATTTGAAATATGTATATGGAAAGAGTGTTGATGGGAGAAGGTAGATGATTAAAAATACTGAGTTCATATTTACGTTTATACCAAGGAGGATTCCATATGCTATTTTAAAAAGGGAAAATTGTTTGAGCCTTACGGGGTGTTTGGAAATGATTCTGCTTCTTCTTCTTTTTTAAAGCAGAAGCAGAAGCAGAAGCAGAAGCATAAGCAAAAGCAGAAGCAGAAGCAAAAGCAGAATAAGTTTTCAGAAGCCGGTCACCCTCAGCTTTTAAAAAACTGATTCTAAGAGTAATTTGAGCACCAGAATCACTTCTGCACTTTCACTCAAACACTCCAACTTCTGCTTCTACTCCCTGAAGGAGCAGGAGCAGTTTTAAGAATCAGATCCAAACACCTCCTATGTCAAAAAAGTCAATTAGATCCCCGTACTTTAGAATCAATCATTGTTCTAAAACTCGTTAGGCGCTAGTCGGGCGGTTGAGGGGCGTCCAGCGCCTAGGCGGCCGACTAGGCCGATTTTTTTACCGACTAGGCCGAATAGGCCTCTACAGTTAGGGCCGACTAGGCCGATTAATCGGTCCGCCTGGGCTGATTTTTAGAACAGTGTAAGCGATCAATTGAACCCTCAAACTCACAAAAAATGCCCAATTAAGCCTCTTAGCCGGTAAAAAATAAGTCTTCCGGTTAAAAGTTGCTTATGTGGTTTTTTTAAAGTTTTTTTTATTTTTTTAGTTTATTACCTAGAGATCTTTAATCTTTACTCGTTATTTTTTCTTAACTCTTTTTCTTTCTTTCTTATATGATAGCTTCTTACTGCCTCGCCGCCAACTTCACCGGCGTTCCGCTCTGTACCCACCTTTCTCATCTTTCTCTCCCACCGTTCACTTCCTCCTACTTTCACTTTCTTCTTCATTGCCCGATTCTGCTCCACTTTCGCTTAGAGCTGCAAACTTCATCGTCGTCATCCACTGTTCAAGTTCGAGCTTTTCCCTCCCGGTTGTAATGTGCCCCTTCTTCTTCTATCGAATTGGAGGGATGGTGATGAAGAATTATCCTCTCTCGTTTGTCTTCCGATTTAACTAAAATAGGGATGTCAGTGAAGAGGTTTTGTTGCAGCCATGGTGCCCCTTTTCTTTAGCGTTGTTCAGCGAGACTCAGAACCTTAAGGGGACTCCAAAGTTTGTAAACAGTCCAATGCTTTCATGGATTTAGAGTTTTGATGGAAGAAATGTAAATAATGCAGTGTTTATGCTTAATTTTGGAGACATGGCTCTCCGAATCTGGGAGAGAGTTGCATGTGAAATTTGTTGGTGAAGATGAACAGTCCAATGTGTATATATCTGAGTTTGAATAGGCTACGTGGTTTGTTGGTCCCTATTTCAAAGATAATGATATAATAACAATGATATTATAAACACAGTAATACAAACAAGGGATCAGATAATGATATGCAGAAGATGATCACTGAAACCCTCTTTGATATACCGTATAAACCTTTACAGAATGATCTTGACGCTAAAAGTTCTAAAGATCGAATATCAAAGTTAACGCAACCCTAAGCCTTATGCGCTTTTATATATGCGCTATCAAGGTTTGTGTAAAGGCTTTACGCTAGATATGGGTCTGACACTTTGGCCCCATATCATTTACTATGCTAATAAATACAGAGTATAAATACATTACGGGCATAGTAAAGACTGGATTATTACAAGACATGTAACAAACTTGATACACAATAAAATATTCTTCAACAATCTCCCCCTCTGTGATCAAGTGTCGTCTTGCTTTCTTTCTGAGCTCTAAAGTAGTTTTTCCTTAAGTTTAGTGCATGTTCATATTGCCTGAGGATATTTCTCTTTTCTAGGCGTTCATCGATAGCTTTCAGAATTAATGTCAGCACTTCATGCTCCTTTAGAGTATATGTAGATGCATCCACAAGTCTTTTGTCAAACACTTCCTTTGTTTTCCTCAGCTTTTCGTGAATGATTTTCAAAGTTCCATCACAGTATTTGTGGATCTCATCAACCACCATCATGCGCTTTTCATCCTTGTGGTTCAGATAAACGACTGCAGGTGGAGTGAAAAAGATGTGATGAGCAAGAAAGTCCTTAAGCTCCGGACCATGCAATTTTGGCTGAGATAGATTCGCTTTTGGGATATTATTCTCGAGAGCCATTTGGAAGTCGTGGGAAGCGTTGACTCGGACTTGTCTAAGTATGAAACGCTTGATTGCTTCGAAGCCTTCTCTGTAAGTTCGATTGTTTCTGACTGGTAGGAATCTGTACGCCATAAACATCCCATAGATGTCATCCATTTTGAGCATGATGAAGTCATTTTCTTGGCATACAAATTCGCTACCATCAGTGCGTTGGACCTTGTAGGAGTAGAATCTGATTGTATGATGATCTTCGACCTTAATTTGTAGAATCTGATGAACAAGATGTGTACTAGACTTCAGATCTCTTTCCAATAGTTGTCGTTGAGGCCCTGATGATCTATGAAGTAGCATGTGTAGGTGACCTCCTGCTTCTTTTCCTTTCAAGTGTGTAAGTTCGCGCATCCTTAGTTCCCTTATAGGTCTGACCTTCTCCGGTTTATGCCAGACACGCTTTCTGAGTTCCTCTTGGAAAGGGGCTTTGATTCGAACATTCTCCCAAGGTTTCTCATTCTTGGGAAATCGTCTCGTTGTTTGTCTTATTATTGATTCCAATTCCTTGAGAGTTTCTTTATAATTTTCCCCTTCCTTGAGTTCCTCTTCATCAAGCCTGATGATGTCTGCTGCACATTTGGCGATTAACTCCCGTAAATACCAGCTCCTCTGCATGTCTTCAATTTCTTCGTCACTTCGAATCTGATCCCACTCCGTCCATTTTCTAGGCCACTTGTCATGTATAATGATATCCTCGAGTTCATCATGCATTGCCTCTGATGAAGGAGTGGTAGGAGCTGGTTGACTTGGTGGTGTCGGGGACCTGTTATCTGGAACACCGGGATCACAAGGATTTCCCGTTGTCATCAGTTCTGAACTATGTTATGACTGATGGCCTGATTGTGAGGATGTACCTGAGGTAACATCAACATGACTTCCATTCCCTCCTCGAACAATATCTCTCGGAGATACGCCTCAGGATGTTTCGTCTAGCTCGACCAGGTTAGATAGATTGGCTTGGTTTCGGTTTTGGCTGGAGGCGGGTGGCTGTTGGTTAGTTGAGGATTCGGGTTGATCGGGCTGTGGAAGTTGGCTGGTGGAAGCGGCTTGCTCAAGTGTTCGTGGCCGCTTGTTCTCCCCCTCATGAGGTTCCGAATCGTCGGGACCCTCATGTGAACGTTTGCGACCACGAGGACTGTCACGGCAAGTGCTCTTGGTGTCAGAAGTACCTAAAAGTGCACAGAGGATGGCTTGCTGGTAAGGGGTAAGGTCTTTGGCATCAATTGCAAGAAGTTTGGCGAGCATAGCAGATGCCAAGTCGTCGAAGGATAGGGTCAGGAGGTCAAGGCGATGTGTGGTCGGGATTGGGGATGATACTAGTTCGGTATCATGGGTTCCCCGAGAGGGTTGTAGACTGGTTGGTTTAGTTGCAGAGGTGTTGGAAATGATTGGGGTAGTTTGAGGTTGAGAGTGAGAGAGTGTTGGCACAGGTGTAGGTTTAGGTGTGGGTTGCTCAGTCTGAACTGTGGGGGTGTTCCTGAGTTCATGTGCAAGAGCGGTCATTGCGTCTTGCACCCATGGTTTTATGGTGGAATCCATTAAACGATTCAGAAGAGCGGTAACGTCTTGAAGGGTTGGGGCACCAGTTACAGGGGTTGTAACTGTTGTCACAACATCAGTGAAGAGAGCTGATGTGTGGCATGTGTTTAATGATGGAATCATTGTTTGCGTAGCGGGGCTTCCGACCGTCATAGTTTGCACTCTGGTCGTTACGTTCAGGATGTGTGTACCTGTTTGTGTAGTGAAAGGTGTAGGTGTCCTAGAAAAATCAGAAAAATTTGGAATTGTGACACCTAGACTCAATGTGGCCGAAGGAGGGGTTGTGGCCTTGGGCGGTTGCCCACTAATTTGCTCAACTGATCCAGAAGTGACCAGAGAGAAGGGTAAAGCCCGTGATGATGGAACTATAGCCTCTTGGGAGGCTAAAGAGTGGCTGGGAGAGGGCTGTGTGTGCGCAGTTGAGCCCGATGTTGCGGCTTCTACTCGGGAACCGAAAAGATCAGCTCCTGTACTTAGGGATGTGGCTCGGCTTATGTGGATGAAAGGATCACAGTCCGCAAAAATGGCCATATCATCTTCATCGATTAGGTCCCTTATAACTAGCCGCTTTGTCTTTAGCTTGGATGACGGAGGAGCATCATTTTTGAGCTTGACGTGTTTCTCCCTGATGATGATGTCTTCAGAATTCTTTACGACATGATCACCCTCATCATAATCCGATTTGGATCGGTTGATTTCATCTTGGACGCTCTTTGACTGTTGAGTCTCCTTTATAGTGAAAGTCTTGAGTCGAGTTGTTATAACCGCCTGTGCCTCTTCAGCAGTGATCTTTTTAGGAGGCTCAACAATCATCTTCCCTTTGCGAATCAGGGCGTAAGTAGCCTCAAAACCATCATCGCCATCATCATCATCATCGTCGTCGTCGTCATCACTTCGGATGGCCACGTTATCGGATGCCTCATCGTCAACCTTATTGTGGGCCGGGCTGAGCGATTCATCGGCAGATTCCTAAGCGTTCGTCGGTAAGCCCTCAGTTGTCTGAGTCCTCTCGGAAGAGTTGTCAGACTTTCCTTCATGGGGCCGACATGCCACTGGTTTCTGTGGCTTTGGAGCTCTCTTGGGACCCTCACACGCACTCGGTTTAGTCCCCGGGGTAGGTTCAGGTGGGTTTTGCTGAACCATAGGGACTGTTCTCTCAAGATTTGCTTTGTACTGAGCCACGACTGGATTCTTTTGGTTGACCAGATTGAGCAAGTAGTCCGGGATTCGCATTCCAGGTTCAACATGTTTGTCCTGCTTAAAATATTGGAGT